TGTGGGACACAGCCTGTGAGTTACCCCCCTGAGAGGTGAGGGAGCTGGGGCATTTATCTGCCATCTTCCATCTCTCATTCATTGAGCGCTGCTACCAGGGGCATTAGTTCCCTGGCACTATTGGCTTGTCCTGTGTATGGGTAGAGCAGTCTCTGATGGCCAGAACCCTTCAGGCCTGGCAGCTGGAGGTCGGGCTGGTGTGTGTGACAATGGTATGTGCTAAGGCGTAGCGGGCAGGGTACCAATAGCATCGGCTATGGAGGGCTGCCGAGCTCCCATCTCTCTACCATACAGGGAGCGCTCAGCCCTGTGAAACATTGATTATCCTTCTTACCACTGAAAAGAACTCCAGGCCTCATTCATTGTTGGCAGAAATTTAAATGGTGTGATTACTATGAAAAACAATTCGGTGGTTCCTCATAAAGTTTAGCAAACATAGAGTTTCTGTATGACCCAGCAATTCCACTCCTAGGTATATACGCCCCCTCCCCCAAATTGAAAACAGGTGTTCAAACAAAAACTCGTCCACAGGTATTCATAGCATCATTATTCACAATAGCCAAAAGGGGGAAACAACCCAAATGTCCATCAGCTGATGATGTGGGTAAATAAAATATAGCATACCCATACAATGGAATACTACTCAGTCATAAAAAGGAATTAAATACTAATACATGTTACAAGTGGATGATCCTTGAGAACATTATGCTAAGTAAAAAAAAAAGCTAGCACTTATCATATGATTCTATTTATATGAAATGTCCAGAACAGGCAAATTTGTAGAGATAGACAGTGGATTAGCAGCTGCCAGGGGCTGAGGAAAGAGGGAATGGAGAGGAATGCTCATGGGTGTGGGTTTCCTTCTGGGGTGATGAAAGTGTTCTGGAAACAGATAGTGGTGACGCTTACAACACACTGTGAATGCACCACATGCCACTGAATTGATGAAAATGATACCTTTTACGTTATATATATTTTCCCACAATTAAAAAAAATTAAAAAGAGCTCTAGGTATTGCACAGCCTGAGTTGCAGGGTATACTGTTTCCCAGGTGGGAAACAAACCCAGAGTGTGGTGTGTGTACCCCAGGATCCCACAGCCGGGTTGGTTCTCCTGAGGGGCTGCTTCTGGGGACACTGGGCAGAGGTTGGGCCCCACAGCTTGGCTTCATTCCTGTCTGAATGGTGCACACAGAGGTTGCTTGAAGCCTCCCTGATGGGGAAATGAGCTGCTTGTCCTGGAGAAGCCAAAGCCAGGCCCAGCTTCTACAGCAGGACAGTTGGGTGGGGGGCGGGGGGGTGGTGGTATGTGCCCAGTGGGAAAATTGCGGGGCGTCTTGTCTTAAATATAAGATTAAATTGGCACCTTTAATTAGTACACTTAGAAAAGGTCACTAGCAATTACCTGGGACACAAAGAAGGCATGAGCAGGCAAGAGCCCGTGAGGAAGCTGAAAAGGACCATTTTGAGCAGCACATAATTGAGGGGAAAATGGATAAAAGTCCAGGAAATTACAGGGTGGGTGACAGCAGCTGATGGCCCCATCCCTGTCCTGCCCAGCGCTCCCCTTCTTGGAAGAGCCTGAACATCGAGCCTGAGAGAGCCGTTTGGGATACTGGACCAAGTTGTATGACCTTGGCTGGAGGGTCGGTGTGGCCCTTCCGGAATCCCATCGGCCAGCTGGGAGCTTGGCCCCATATTCTCCACCTGGGCTGGGCCCTGAAGGAGGTTGGCAGGTGAGGTTTCCAGTCCAAGGGGCCGCCGTGGACTCATTGCTCTACTGGGGACAAGCAGGGCCCCCACGGGCCTCAGTTTCCTCATGTGCAATCTCCCCAAGCCTTGGGAAGTAGCTCAGTGTTCCTCAGACTTTGCCACTAAAGGACCCCTGAGGGTATCAGAAAGGAACTGTGTGTCCCCGACGGAGGCTGGAAATTCTTTCACAGTTTTAGGTTGTGTCTTTAAAAATGAATTGAGGGCTTCCCTGGTGGCGCAGTGGTTGAGAGTCCGCCTGCTGATACAGGGGACACGGGTTCATGCCCCGGTCCGGGAAGATCCCACATGCCGCGGAGCGGCTGGGGCCGTGAGCCATGGCCACTGAGCCTGCGCGTCCGGAGCCTGTGCTCCGCAACGGGAGAGGCCACAACAGTGAGAGGCCCGCATACTGCAAAAAAAAAAGAATATTATATTGTACCCCCATTATATTCCCATTTGTTTTAGAATAAAATAGTTGCATGTCACTGAGCGACACAGATGCTTTGAGAAGATGTGCTTGGTTTATCTATGACTTCACGTACCTCCTCCTTCCTCATCTAGGAAAGAGCACTGTACTGGGAGTCTCGAAACTTGTGTTTGAGTCCTGATGCTGTTGCTCACCATTGTACCTTGGGCAAATTACTAAATGCCTTCAGTTTCTCCATCTTTAAAATGGGAAGGTTGGGCTCCCCAAAAGGTCTCTGTTCCATGACTTCAGTCCTCCTTCTCCTGCTTCTCACCTCGTCTCATCACCGTGGATGCTGCCATGTCCTACTCTGCTGTGTGACCTTGGAGAGGCTACTTTGCCTTTCTGAGCCTCAACTTCCTAATCTGTATAATGGGTAGAATAATGACTACCAAACAGAGTTGCTGAGAGGATTTAATGAGAGAACCCATGTGAATGGGCTAGCACCATGTCTGGCATATCATAAGAGCCTAATGATTGCCCAGTATCTTCCTTTCCTAAGTGTTGGGCTTCCACTTAGGGCCTGATAGGGTCATGTCCATGCAAGTCCTAAATCTTGAGTTCACATATCAAGTGTTGAGATTTGTAAGGTTGTGGAAACAAATGTGGGCACTGGGCCAGAATGCCTGGGCTTTGAAGTCCAGCTCTGCCCTTTGCTAATTGTGTGGGCATGGTAAATTACTTAATCACTTTGTTACCTTATCTCCCCACAAGTGGGGAGAATAACAGGAAGGAATGAATTAGGGAGTACACAGAAATCCTTTAGCCCAGTGTCTGAAATGTGGTTAGTGCTCCAAAATGTTAGCTCTTGTCACGTTAGAATTGTCTTTTAAAAGTTGACTTAGAAAAGCTCATCGAGGGCTTCCCTGGTGGCGCAGTGGTTGAGAGTCCGCCTGCCGATGCAGGAGACACGGGTTCGTGCCCCAGTCCGGGAAGATCCCACATGCTGCGGAGCGGCTGGGCTCCTGAGCCATGGCCGCTAGGCCTGCGCGTCCGGAGCCTGTGCTCTGCAACGGGAGAGGCCACAACAGTGAGAGGCCCGCGTACCGCAAAAAAATAAATAAATAAATAAAAGAAAAGCTCATCGACATTCTCTTCTAGATAAAATTCCCAGAGTTTAGAATCCTTCCTTCCTTAGCTATTAATAGACCATCAGAGCTATTCAGTAAATATGAGAGTCAGTATGTGGGAAAGAAAGAGTGTCTGTCTCATTTTATAGGGTAAATGGAGGCTTTAAAAGAAGTGATTTGCCAAAGGCCGTGGTTCTAACGTAACTACTCCTTGAGAATCAGATGGAGACCATAGAGCCTCTCTGCAGAAATGACACACTGTACACTCAGAACATTTTGCACAGTTCCTGGCAGTTTAAGCACCTCTTGAAGCTAAGGTGAGCGGCTGAGCCGGTTGTCTGAGATGTCCTGCTTTTAGCACATATCCTGGGAAATGCCTCAGTCCTAGACAAAGCAGGATGGTTGATCGCCCGACCTGAAGCCTACCTTGTGAGGGATGCTGTGAACCCCAGGAGAAGATGACCTACTCTAGGACTTCTTAGGCAGGGCTGTAGGCCAGGCATCCTGATGCCCAGGGTGGTCTCTGGCCAGGGCTTTGTTTCTTGGTGAAGGCAATACCATAGTCCTCTGATGGAGGACAGGAGCTAGACTTCGTCACCCAGCTCTAGACTGGAGTTCCTGAGGGTGCTCCAAATCTTCCTAACCTCTGTGTACCCTAGTGGTTACCATAAGGCCAGCACCTAATCACTGTTCAATGAATGCCAGGTTTTGTAAAATTTTCTGAATTAGCAAATATTGCTTTGTACTTTTTGTGAGATTTAAATACATTGAATGTACCACAGGTTTGTTTGTTTTTAAATCTATCTGCCTAAAAAAAAAAAATCTATCTGACTGTTCATGGACACTGTTTTTTTTTTTTTTGGTTTCCAGTTTTAGGCTATTATGAATAAAGCTTCCATGAAAATTATTGTACCAGGAAAAAAAAAAAAAAAAAAAAATTATTCCATTTTAAAAAAAAAAAAAACCAACACAACTTACTTAGGCAAAACCAAAAAAAAAAAAGAAAAAAAAAGGGGGGGTGATTTATTAGCTCATACAGCTGAGCAGTCCAGAGGATGGAGCTAATTGCTAATTTCAGGTATCGTTGGCTGCAGACCCTCAAACTGTCAGGAATCTCTCTCCATGTACCATCTGGCTCTGTTTTCCTCCTTGTTGGCCTCAACCTCAGGCAGGCTCTTCCTCTGGTGCCAAAGATGGCTGCCAGCAGGACCAATTTAGCAACCCCAGTGGAAGGAGAGCGACTCTTTCCCAGTTCCAGCAGACTTCCAGCAGAAGTCCCGGGGTTGGCTTTGATTGGCTAGTTTGGGTCACATGCTCATCCCTGAACCAATCACTGTGACCAGGGAGATGGAGTGCTCTGAGTGGCTAGGGCTAAGTACTGTGCCCATCTTGGAATGTAAGAATTGAAGGGTTGGGAGCTTGCACTCATGTGAGCCACTTGGAGGACTCCTCTAAATTAAGAAAAGAGGACAGGCAGAAGTCACAGAACGTGGTGAATGACAGTTCCCTATTACACACTGTGACAAGTGACCAGGATGGAGGCAGGGAGCCTGGAACAGAGCCAGAGATGCACAGGGGTCTGCGGTAGTCAGTGACCTGCTGGTGGTCTGTTGGGCGGCTGCTGTCCACAGGGACTCAGCCACCTGAGTGAGGTGCTGAAGAATGGATTAACCTCCCATCTTTGCCCTCTGCTCTCTCCTGCGGGTACTTCAGGTTCCTCTGTGACCCAGTTGCTGGCCCGAGACATGGACAACGACCCCCTGGTGTTCGGCGTGGTTGGGGAGGAGGCCTCCCGCATCTTTGCGGTGGAGCCTGACACGGGCGTGGTGTGGCTCCGGCAGCCGCTGGACAGAGAGGTATGACCTGCCGTGACCTTTGCCCCTGGCCTTCCCTAGGGAGGCAGAAGCACACACTGGGGGGGGGATGGCTCGTCGTCTTCTGACCCTGAAGCAGCATCTTCCTGCCGGAATGGTGTCCCTCTTCCAAGGCCAGTGCTGATGTCTGGACTTGGGGTTAGAATAGGGTGGTTTGGGGTGTCTCCAAGTAAGGGGCGACACTGGATAGGCAAAAGGGACAGTGACCTCGGGTTCATCCCCTGTAGAACAGCGGCTCCACAGAGTGTGCACATCTACACCCCCCAACAGATGTTCCCCCAAAGGACGTTTTCCCGAGACACAGGTAGCCCTTAGCATGTTAAGGGAAGAGTTTGAACAAAACCCCAATCCCTGCTTTCTCCTCACTTTGAAGTGGCCCCAGAGGTGACTTGCTCAAGATCACACAGCCATTTAGAGACAGAGCCCAGATTAGAGCGAGATTCCTGACTCCTAATCTACTGCTCCTTTGTGGGAAGGGTCCATATTCTGAACCTACTTCCCCAACCCGAAGGCACTGCTTATTCCTTAGGGAAGCCTTCAGTTATCCAGTCCCAGACCAGCTCCTGGGGCAATGCTGGCGGGTCTCCGGCACCAAGTAGGGCTCCGGACGCAGGGCCTTAGCTCCCCTGTCTAACTCTGACCTCCTCCCTCCCTCCGTTTTCTTTCAGACCAAGTCGGAGTTCACGGTGGAGTTCTCTGTCAGCGACCACCAGGGGGTGAGTGTCCCCTAAGGCCCCTGCTTCCCCGGGAGGCGGGGTTCCTGAGCCTTGGGTGGAAAGAGGCTGGAGGCTGATGCTAGCTCCCCACTCTTGTCTTGCCAGGTGATCACGCGGAAGGTGAACATCCAGGTCGGGGACGTGAATGACAACGCACCCACGTTTCATAATCAGCCCTACAGTGTCCGCATCCCTGAGGTAGGGGCCCCCAGGGTCACACTTGAGGGACATTGCGGGCCTGCTGCTCTGGGGCCACCGGCGAGGAGGCTGATGCTGGAGAAAGGGCATTTCCAGCTCCTCTCCTGCCCACACCTCAGCCCAGCACCAGCTCTGGTCAGGTTGGTGACTGAGCCAGCGCCTCTGAGGGGGCCTGTCTGCTGGCTGCGGGAGCCTCGTGCCTGAGAGAGGGCCTGCCTTGGATGAGCCCTCCCAACTCCAGCCGGAGTCAGGGACAGGACAGAGGTTGGGAGGGGCAGGTTGCACGTTTTTTCCATTTACAGCCAGTGCGGGCCTTGGGCAGGTACGTTGGCAGGCCTAACCCCAGGCCTCCCAGCTTTGGCTAGAGCAGGTCCCCCAGGATGCAAAGTGCATGCAGTACCTGGGAGGGGCTTTCTTTCTTGAACCCTGCGCTGTCTTGCTGGCCTTCGGCTGCTTTGGGTTGTCTGCGTAACTCAGTGTATTTGCGTGAGTGCGTGTGGGTGAAACCACGCCATTGCTCGCAGCTGAGAAGGTGCACATCATTGCGTTACAAACAGTTCGTTAACAAGCTGGCTGCTGGCTCCTGATGGCCCCAGCGTTCTCATTGCTTACTGTCCCTCTCCCCGGTGGCCGATGGCAGTCTTCTGGCCTGACAGCGATTCAAAGACCTTGAAGGTGGAGGGTAAAGAGCTGGGTGTCCCTCAGGCCTGCCCTCGGGGCTCTGGGTTGGGTGGCAGCAGTAAAGGTTTGGGATGGGAATGATGGGAGATGGAATCCACTGGGGAGAGGCAGCCTGGCACCATGGCATTGGAGTGCTAGCCCCTTTATGTTATAGGTCATTGGATCAGGAAACTGAAAGAGGTTTAGAAAATATCTGTTCAGTTTATAGATGAGAAAAGTGAGGCTCAGTGTGGGAGAGTGACTTGCCCAAGGTCACACAGCTTTGACTTTGAGCCTCCTGACTCCCAGGGCAGCTTCAGATTCCTCAGGGATGAAGAAACCTGATCTCATGCCTCTAAGTCCCGGTTGCTGGCCCTCCTTACTCAGCTGTGAGCCAAGGGTCCTGTGCTTGTGCCAGACAGAGTGAAGTAGGACAGATGTGCAGGTGGGACACACCAGAGGTACTCATGCCCTTCCCCTGATGGGGTGGGACATAGGGAGAGAGAGCCTGCAGTCCCAAGCATGGGGACACGGTGCCCTGAGCTGTGGCCGGTGTGCCCAGGACTGCAGCTTGGCTCCGGGCCCCCGCTCATTTGGAAGTCTCTCTAATTTAATGGTCTCTACGTGCCAGCCTGCACTCTAGTCCCGGGCTCAGAAACCAAGGGCACAGCTCGGAGTTAATGAGCCTTGCACCCATTGCTCAGCTGCCATCCTGGCAGGCATGGCTGCCCTCTGCCTTCCCTCACGGGGGGCAGCAGACAGCAGCAATAGCAAGGGGATGAGGGGTCACATCCCTGCTTCCCAGCCCTTGGGCCAGGGCCAGCCTTTTCCTCACTCCCTTGCCAGGAGAAGATGTGACCTCCAATACCACCCTGTTGGAATCCCCCAGGATTCTCCGAAGGCCTCTGCCTTCAAGGAGAGAGCCTCTTCAGTCATTCATTCATTTAACAAATATTTATTGAGCGTCTGCTGTGGGCTTGGTGCTGTGCCAGGCTCTCACTGCGTAGAGACCTGGGAGGCCAGAGGAATATATAACGAGGGGAGCCAGAACCAGAGGCCAGAGACCCCAGGCCTAGCCCCTGCTCTGCTCCCAGATTGCTGGGTCCATTTGGGCATGTCACTTAACCTCTCTGGGCCATGGTCCTCCTTATCTAATAAAAGCAGAGGACAGGTGGGATAAAATGGCCTGCCTCCTGCCCATCTGATGCGGAGAGGGTAGGCCAAGGGGGCCGGCTGGAAGGACACACAGTCCTTGGAAGAAGGCCTGAGTGGTTTACTCGCTTGCATGTAAACCTCCCTATCAGGTCACTTAGGTGGCCTGATACTCGATGCCCTGCTCAGGGCTGCTCCGTGTGGCCAGCGGGGATGTGGTGTCAGCTGGGTGGAGGCCTGGCCCCTCCTGACCCGAGGTGGCTTGGCACTGACCAGCCCTGGCCTGGGGTGGTCACCTGAGCTAGAGCTTAGCTGCCTGGCTCAAGCCCCAGCTGGAGTACCAGGGAAGAGTCTGCTGGTCCTGGCCCAGAATTCAGGCAGGGGTCTCCTGCTTACATTGAAGTCACCCTGGAAACCCCAGGCCCTTGCCCTTGAGAAGCCCGATTCAGTGAAAGAGGCCCTATGGATGTGAATAGGATGAGAATGCAAACCAGAGAGACAGGGGTCACTGCAGACCCTGTGAGGCATCAGTCTTGAGGGGGTGCCAGAGTGATCAGAGAAATCTCAACAGGCTTCCAGGAGGAGGTGGGTTTCCAGGAGAAGCTCGCCAAGGTGAGCAGCGGAGCTCCTGTGTTGTATGGTGGGAAGAGGGAGACTGGAGGTCAAGACATCTGGGTTCTAGTCCTGATTGTGCCAGCAACTGGCTGGGTGAGACTTCAGACCTGTCACTGCCCCTCTGCTGCCTTCAACTCCAACAACTGTTAAACTGGGGAGTTGGGCCAGGCCCCTTCCAGGACTGACATGCCGTGATCTGAGGAGGCATCCCAGCAGGAGTGGCTCCTTTGTTATCCTCCAGTGCTTCATTATTCCTTGAGGGCTGACAAAGACCTCCAGTGGCTGCCTCCATGCACTCAGCTCCTCTTTTGGTCATCCTAGCCACCTGCACACCATCCCTAACCTTCCCAACTTCCACTCCCCCCAGCCCTAGGGGCCCTGATAATGTTTGGGTCTGTTGTGTCCAAAACCCAGGGATAGGCGTGGGGAACAAGTTACAGGGAGGTAAATCTAGGTCTACATATGGAAGAACTTTCTAATGAGACCCACCCCACAATCTACTCCCCTGTCCTGCTGAGGATGTACTGAGCTCGCCATCCCTGAAGTTATACAAGCAGAAGCAGGAGAACCCCGTGTCTCAGAAGCCATCTAGTACTGAGTGCCGGGGAGGTGATGAATCAGAGGCTCCCAAACATACCCCATCAGAATGTCCCGGGGGACTGTTGGGAGGCATATTCCCGGGCCCCTGCAATTCTTTTAAGTAATTTATTTATTTATTTGGCTGCGTTGGGTCTTCGTTGCTGCGTGCAGGCTTTCTCTAGATGCGGCGAGTGGGGGCTACTCTTAGTTGCGGTGCACGGGCTTCTCATTGTGGTGGCTTCTCTTGTTGCGGAGCACGGGCTCTAGGCACACGGGCTCAGTAGTTGTGGCACACGGGCTCTAGAGCACAGGCTCAGTAGTTGTGGTGCACGGCTTAGTTGCTCCGCGGCGTGTAGGATCTTCCTGGAGCAGGACTCAAACCCGTGTCCCCTGCATTGGCAGGCGGATTCTTAACCACTGCGCCACCAGGGAAGTCCGTCCCTGCACTTCTGAATCAGCAGTTGGGGAACAGTTGGCCCAGGAAGCTGCATTTTTAGCTCCATGGCGACAGCAAGCCCTGGAGGATAATATCTGTGGCCCTCCCCATCAGAGGGTTTCTGAGAGGTGCTGGGGTAGCCCATCTCTGAGGGGAACTTTCAGCCTGTCAACACCTGCCTAGAGACATCACCCATGGGGACCCACGTCCTCAGGCCTGGAGTAGGAGCAGATGGGAGGCGGGTCAAGACCAGGCACTGCCCCGTTCCTGGGAGAAGCTCACCCGCCCCCTGCGCACCCAGCCCTGCCCCCTCTCCCTCTGAAAGCCCCTGCCTAAGCCGGACAGGTGTGTTTGGGTTTGTTTGTTCTTGGTGCCCCTCCTGCCCACCCCTCTCCCCTCACTAAGCTGTTCTACATGTAATTATCCATTTTATCAGGGTGAAAGGCCCTGCAATTCACTTGTCGAAGCCCTAACAAGGCAGAGGCAGCGTGGATGCTTTCAAGTCCGTAAAGAAAAGGGAAATCCTGCTAGAAGTGGCAACTTAATTCACCGAGCCAGCCTTGACAGACCTCATTAAGCCCCTGTGTATTCATTTCAGGCTAATGGCTGTCATGCTGACTGCTGTTTGATTTGCTGTAATAGACTTTTACGGCGTTCCAATTTGCTCAGACGTGTTTGCCCGTGTCTGTGCCCAGCGACGCTGCTCCAGCACCTCTGTTAGGGGTGCGTGCCCACCTCGCTGACCTTCAGCGTCCCTCCAGCTGTGCCCGGGGGAGGTGACCCTCGGGCCTGGGTGTTTGGGCAGGAGGATGGCGTGAGGTTAGAAGTCAGATGGTGCCAGGTGTCTCCTCGGGTCAAGGAGGGCCTCTGAAGTGTCAGGGATGGCCACGTCACTGAAGTTCTGAGAAGTTCAGCCTCCTTAGCTGGGCAGTGGAGGCTTCTATCCATCTGGCCTCAACCTACGTTTCTCAGCTTATCTCCTGGTATTCCTCACGAATCCTCCTGGCAGCCGAGGGGCTGATCCAGCGCCTCTGAGCGTGTGTCTGTGTCTCTCTCTTTTCTTTGTAAAACACACTTTGTACTGTTCTAACTAGTACTGGAGTGTTTCCTTTCTTCTCTCAGCCTAACTCTATTCTGCCTGTCCTTCAAAGCCCAAATCTGATCCGCTGTGCTTTGATCCACTCAAGTCGTTTGAAATGAACACAAACATTTGTTGAACAGCTATGGAGCAGGGCCCAGGGATTTTCAGCTGGCTTGGATATGCAGGGTAGAAAACACAGACTCTGCTGTTTGCCAGCTGTACAACTTTGGAAGGAGTCTAACCTTTATGGAGCTCGGTTTTCTTATCTATGAGATGGGCAACAATATTTGCCATGCGGGGTTATTGTGAGAGCTCTAATAAGGCAGGTAGGAAAAGCCCCTAGCCCAGTTTGTGGCTCATAATGCATTTTAGCCACACCATAAACTACAGAATTGAGCCACACTCAGTCACCATAAACTACTGGTGATTGAGGCCAGGGTCTTTGTGCTCAGGGAAGGTAATTTTACAGAGAGAAAA